TAAGGTTGAGGCCGACACCACCGGCCTTGAGCGAGACCAGCATCACGGTGACGCTCTCGTCCGTCGCGAAGCCCTGTATAGTGTAGTGAAAAATAAAAACCAACCGATTGTGTCATTGTTGGCGCGAAGCCGAGAGTTTCCCGATACTGTGTGAAAAATGGGAGAGCGGGGTGGGTGGGGATGGGGAAGCATGCAGGGGGAGACCGTGCTACTCGAGAAAGAAACTCTCAGCGGCCAATTCGAGTCGGGGTAGCATACATACGCCAATGTGTTTTTCATCAACAGAGGTCCTTTAAACTTGATGTCGAGCATCTTCGAGAGCAGCGTAAAAACGCCTGCCTTGCCGAACGAAAAGAAGCGCCGGAAAGGGCACCCGGTACGTGGTAGGGCCTTTTTCCAAACACGAAGTTGACGTTGCGGTGTTGCCAAAATTGTCTATATGTACACCAGTCAAAAAATTGCGCCATTGAATAATACCAGGACTAACGGTTTGACAAAACACACCACGATGCAGTAAAATAACAGGGCAGTAAAACGCACGAAAAAACAAATGTCGGAAAAAACCTGGGCCTTCTTCATTCAACAAGGGCCAGGGACAGACAATGCGGCACCCAACAGTAAACAAAATAGGCAGGCCACAACGCACAAGCAACGATGCAAATCGTGTGAAATATTGTGTTTTCTTTTTGAGAGAGCTGTCTACCTTGAGAGCGGACTCCCGCTGTTGTTGGGACATGGCTCCGTCCAGCCTTCGGAACGTCCACCCTCCCCTGGCAATGCTAGCCTCGGCAAGATCCAGCATGTGAGTCCACTACCCGAAATGGTCAAAAGAAGTGGCACAACATGGCGGCAGAGATGTAGCCAAGGAGGGCAATATACAGGTTGGTCAGTGACACAGAGAGAACGGGAGAGGAAGAGAGAGATACACAGACAAGACAGACAGACAGAGGACCGAGGGGCAGGAAGGAGGCCAAAGTTTGAGGTTCACCGCACGAGTCACCCGTCTAGCCACGCCATCCCGGTTCCAAGACAGACACGACTCGGGGAGCCGTCGCGGGGCTAAAGTACTGCACGTGTTTACACTCACCACAATCGAGAGGCCAACAGAAAAATTGCAACAACCACTACATCTTCCCCACTCGTCCATACAGGAGGGTGGGACACAAACAGCCTGACTGACGGCCTATTTTTTCTACCCATCCCAAAACGAAACAAGCACCATTTGCATGAAAAAAAAGACGACTACAATTGGCACCTGAGAGAAGACGACGGCCTTGGCGCCGGGTGTCTTCTTTCGCATCTCTCGCAGCTCGAGCTCCAATCTTGCTAGCTTGGTGCTCCCAATCCACCCCCCGC